ATATGTACTGTATATATATTTGTTATCTTGTTACCTTAAGATAAATTGTTGTAAGTGGCACTAGCGATCAGATTTAAAATCCAGTAAAATTTGGTACAAGGACATGCACAAAGCTACATTCTTATACATAGTCTATACCGTCTTGTTGAGCAGGTTGTACCGTATGGAAATCAATATACACTTTCGTATACCCATATATACAAAGGCCTAGACAGTATATATATAGTATATATTTACATATAGGCCTATTATATACATGCTATATATAAATACATACATATGCCTACATACACTATGTATGTATATATATATATGCATTATATATATACAGGCCTATATATATATACAATATATATATATATATATATATATATATTATCTTGTCACCTTAAGATAAATTTGGACAGGATTTTCTAGGGTACGGTCTAGATAAGTTTCGCACTTTACCGTCATATTATTGATGATAATATATATAGGCCTATATAAAGAATCCTAGCGGCTGTTTTTACTTCAAATATATAGCAGACAACGCACTGATAGTTTGATATAGACAGCCAAATAATATGTCACTTACTATTGAATTATATCACCATTCAACGTGTCAACATCCACGAAATTCATGAAGCATATTTCCGTCCTCGATATTCACTGGCGGCATAACTAGATAGGTTCAGTTTTATAGCACGACGCCTTCGTTTAGACTCAGCCGTCTGGATAGTACTGTAGTCGGATGTAAGAAATGCACGTGCTTAGACCCAAAAGCAGGCAATAAACTGTCTGCAATCCTTTGAAAATCAACTAGCCTAGAACTGATATGCAAGTTGATCATGTACACGTATGCTGTTGCAGAAATCCGGTGTAAAAACAGTTTTTATTCAGCCGTCATGAGAAGAAAGAACTACACACGCTCGGTTGGTATGATGATGAAGTTGTAATGTTTTGGATAGGCGGGTTGGTTAGCTCGCTGGCTGTCTGCATGCTTCGAAGCAACGTACATGCGAAGCGACCTTCAACACGGGTCATTCCTGCGTCTAAGGCCAACGAACTGCCGGTAAACTCGACAACCTTCTTTTGTCGGCAAATGCGATTGGACAGCCAAATAAAGTGGTTTCATCACAACTGATTAGGTACTCGTGTGCAGCCTAGCGGAACTAAAACCGACTGATGCCGACTCGTTGAGCTACGTGAGGTCGACACAACACGTTACAATGAAGTGTAACTGAAAAAAACCTGACACTAAAACCGATGGGTAGATGGCAAAATTAATACTGTGGCAGTTTGGCGGTAGTTAACTTTAAATCAATAGACTGGAACGCAAGGTGAAGAGCGAATTATCAATACAAAATTTGATTTAAATCAGTATTGAATGGAGCTAAGGTCGACATGCCATATCGCCGATTATAAACCTTTACTAGGAGTGTAGTACTGTAATTCTTTTTAGGCTTAGGCCTATGTGGAGGTAAAGAAATGACAAAAGTAGTATAGTATACAGTATTAATAATATTATGCTAAGTTTAACGCAGTGAAACTACGTAAAGCGCTAACTTCTCGGATTCACCACCATGCACTAAATATGACGGGGGCGTGCAAGCCTAACCTTAGTATTAAGGAGACACCTTTGGGGCCCTATGATGTCTTCTGAATGGTGTTAGCCCAGGAAGTAGTTGAACGGGGTGTTAAAAGATATATTTCCCCATTATTTTGAGTGCAAAAAAGTGTCCTCTTGTTATGGTGTCTCTAATAACAAATCAAGTCTAGATATTATTATTTATTATTATTATTATTATTATTATTATTATTATTATTATTATTATTATTATTATTATTATTATTATTATTGCTATACTAATAATCGTAGGCCAATGTTATTGCTGTTATAGTATTTTTAGACAGCTTTCGTTCCGCAATTTGTCCTTCCAACAATGGCACCTATAGTGACTATGGATCAATTAAACATAAATATCCTAACTGACTGGCCTGACTTACTGATCGGTTGAATGACTGACTAAAAAAATTGACTGATTGATGAATTTATTGATTGACTGACTGACTAACTGACTGATTGACTGACTGACTGACTGACTGACTGATTGACTGACGAACTGGCTGACTGACTGATTGACTGTCTTACTGATTGACTGACTGATTGACTGACTGACTAATTGACTGACCAACTGGCTGACTGATTGATTGATTGATTGACTGACACTGATTGACTGACGATCTGAGCATTTTTAAGCTGTTTTAAAACGATTTGACAATACCGAGATAAATAACAATATTTTAATAATGTCAAGTAGGCCTACAATTTGAATTTCAATGCATGTTTAATTTGAGCACCCGAACTATTTACACAAACATTTCATTACTCGAACAACAACAACAACAAAATGAATTAAAGGCATACTGATCAATTACTAAAATAACACGTTACAGTGAATTACGGTAGTACACGGTGTCTCTAATGACTCAAGTTACTGCACGACCATTTTAATATTTTTAATAAACCTAATTTCTTGTCATTTTAAATACCGGTACATTTTCCCATAAATTCGTGATAATTCGTCATCACGCATAGACTTGTGCTAAATGCTTGACAAATTTATGATCACACATGTGTTTCTGCAAAATGCGTATTTCATCCAAAATCACTTTAAAATGCGGGACCGTCCCGCACGATGCGAGACGGTTGGTAGCCCTGGTCACAAACCAGTACTAAGGGTTATCCAGCATGTCGTATCTTGAAGTTCAAAATATAAATGATTTCTCTCATCAACAACGCGAAGTAAACCTCTACATGATCCATTCCTTTGGCTTCCTCTCAATAATTCCGGCCTTCAGTCATACGTCAGTCCCGACGTGTTGGTCTACCACACACACTATGTATGAGGACTACTATACCTCCATGGGACTACTATCCCTCTTTCCATCTCTACCTATTGCCTTCAGTCCGGTGGGGAGTGGTTGGCGCAGTGGTTTGGGCATGACAACCTTGATAAAGGAGTTTCTACACTCGCTGTCACTACATTCGCTTTTCGTCCCCCGCTGACGCCACAGATGTGTATAAGAGACAGGGCCGCTAATGGGTTTCATTGACATTTCTACATGTCGATGATTGCTCGAATTCAGCTCAATCGGTTCGTAGTTTTGAATTTAGGCTATTGTGTAGTTTTTGTTTACATTGCAGTAGGCCTAGGCCTATACATATTGGCAATCACAGGCATTTATGCAAACCCACAGTATTTTCTACACACCTTTCTTGTTGCAACACAATGGCTAAAGTACAATCCCGTTCCCGGTTATTCATGCTTCTAAAATTTAACTGTAATTCGTATTAAGATACAAAATACAATAGTTTCATCATGGTTTAAAATGTTCTGTATAATAATGAATAAACTGCTATAAAGCAATATGATGTTCATTTTGATTCTTTAATTCCATATAAATTTCACTTGATTTAGGCCTATACATTAATATTTTAGAGCAAACGGGCTGAGGTCACGTAAGATAGCCATTTATATAGCCATTTTTGGTACCCTGACCAGGGGACCTTTGCGGTCCCCTGGCCCCCAGCATTTGGTTCCTCCCTTCGATCAGAACACTTGTCCCCACCCCACCCCACATTAAATCACGGATCCACACTGCATCCCCTACAGAAATATTCTGGCATACGCCACTGGGACTACTACGGGTACAACGATTGCACTGAAAACACTGTAGCGATGTGTAATTCTAGGTTCAGTCGCTTTTACCATTAGGCATCTTTAATTTAATAGACGGATTCGGCGATGTTTGTTTACAGGTGGTGACGCGACAAAACTTGGGTATACATGAAAAACATTACACTGCGAGAGTATATTATAGAGGAAAAGATAATGTTAACTATTAACGTGAAAAGTAAATGGCTATGAAATGCAATACGATTGTTCAAAATAGTGTTTATTTATCGTACTTATCCTAGCATTCTCCTGGATTGTACCGTATGCTTTGAAATTTAAGTGCTCTTTCATAAACCATAGCCCTCGCTACTCATGATGGTAGAATACCATTATTGCATACAATAAACATGCCGTTAATATGCAGGGGCCTAGCTAACATTTGTCGAAAAATCTCAATGTTTGCGGCCAGTATCCTTTACAGCAATAGCAAACCATTAAGGCAAAATTCTCAAGTTTTTCTTTTCCAATCAATTTGGTATATTTACTGGGCATTGTGATGATCTTTACAGCAATAACAAGGGGCGCCGCAATAGCAATCTCTATGTAAAAGTCGTTCATATCCAAAACTCAAGTTAGGTCACGTAACGCCCATCGCCGAATCTCTCTATTTAATTATTTTATTCATTCCATATTTTATTCTACATAGGCCTATTCCACTTCCATTTTCCCATATAGCATTTCAAATACTAGTACGAACGTAAGTTCGAACATCGTTATCAGATTATTCACCATGTGTTTCTACACAACATTCTGGTTACAAACTACTCTGCTCTAGAAAAAAAAAATCTTTTCATAATAATTCTATTGACGAGTTAAGTTCCCCAAATAAAAATGAATTAAATAATGAGTATCGTATTAAATATGTGCTAGCATAGTTGAACTGGATGTTGGGTTTTGGTTTCAGAATTCAAAACACTACATGTACTGTATATCTGTGCCTCGGCCCTCATCTACTTTCTTGTGGTTTAGAAATAGTTTAGTGAATATTGGAGAGTACGTGCCCCTGGATCCGCAACATGCTATTTTCAGTGCGATGGCACCTCCGGCTCGGTCGACCTCCAATCCAACATTAGTCAGTTTAATCATGGTTTAATCCATCTCCTTCCTTTTATAGCTGCGTTTATCTATTTCATTCAATTATCTAGGTCATACCATGCAACCTGGCAGCGAAGATCGACTTTTTAAGGTGTTTTCCAAGAGTACAATGCACTTTTTAACTTCTCATCCTGCAAACCTTATTAGACATACGCAAAAGACATGCATTTTATTCTGTACAAAATTTGAGCCGTATGGCATAGTTCAGTAATCGATGACGACATCATGCTAATTAACCTTTCCGCTAACCACCGCCCCTTGGATACGGTTGCTAATATCCCACAAAACGAAAGCGTAAACGTATTTGTGGGACATACGCGTATTTGTAGCTCTGTTTTTATTGGCTAAATAACCATTATGAAATGCCATTTCAAGCAGGCATAACTCGTCAATATAAGGTGGGAGTGGCCCTTTCATCAGACAGGCAAAACCTATCGTCATCGGTCAGTCTTCATTAATACTGTATCATAGATGTCCCTATTCATTCTTCATTTTGTCATATTCCATAGAGGCCTACTGTAATTCTTCTAATCTTACACATTGAATGACCCGAGATACTAGCAGAATAATGATATATCATTTACTTAAGCTGTAATACACTAAATATTTATTAACAAATATGGTGTCATGTTCCGATGCGTATATAAAACAACACACAAAAGTCCGCGTCTGCATACACCATCAAAATTAATGCTACGCAGATGATAATTCATACTCAATGGATTACATTATTACCCTGCTATCATGTTTCCAGTAGGTCACAGAGAAAGAATATCGCATGATCTGGAGAGAGAGATCGAGCGCTTTTCTGGTCTATTGTGGATCAGTGTTTTTGAGGTAAAAAAAAAACAAACAAACAAACAAACATGGCCGGCGTCTGGGATTTGCATGCCGCAATCGATTCGGTTATTAATTCCCGTTTAGGGTGTAGGATATGGATGAATGCTTTCTACAAAATCAAAAGTCCCACGTTAAAAACACTGCAAACACGATGATTTCCCTCGCAATACTGTAGGCAGTGGCATGGCGTAACGCCTATGTGCTCTCATGCGGCGGTCCGAAGGGCCCCCGAATTCTAGGGGCCCCGAAGGGGCCCTACCCATAGGTTTCTCGATCTAGTACCCAGACCAAAAAGAATTTGTTGATAAAAAAAAAACTCATAATGTGTCTCTGAAATCGACTGTAGGGCATATATCATATTATAATGATTAAAGAGAAGGGGGGCGTCGGCCCGACGCCCCCCCCCCCCTCAGCCTGGGACCCCACCAAACTTGTCAAAAAAAAATTAAAATGGAGATTATATTATTATTCACAATTATATATTATTTATTCACGATTATATTCACATTTTGAAGTCTGTGAGTGCCATTTCCGGCCATCTAGTTGTGCCATAGTAATACATTTTCTTATCTCAGCCCCACAAGGGCAACGGCATAATGTGTGTCTGAAATCGACTGTTGGACATATCATCCAGTGGCGGAATAAAGAGTGTGGGGACCCACTAAATTTGTCAATATATTTTTTAACTGGAGATAAAACTTCATAATTTTGTCTGTGAAGTGCCATTTCCGGCCATCTAAAGGTGCCATATTCATAAATGTTCTTACCTCAGCTCCAACCATGGTGGGTCTGAGGTGGTATAGACTCTCCAACTGTGAAAGTCCCTCCCTGGCCTCAGTTTTCTGGATGCATATTATATCATTTATTCGTCGTTAAAAACATTTAGAATAACAATGCACACCTAAAATCCCACGATGGAATTGGTGACCGGGACCCAAAAAGGGGCCCCAGTTTCAGAAATACACAGAGCCCCCGGCCCCATCGTTACGCCACTGACTGTAGGTCTACTTCATTTTGGGCAAATCGAGTCTACATCCCATTCAAGGCCTAGCGTTCTGCATGTCTTCTACGATTTTCTTATCTCCTCATGTTGATTAACCTCAAGGCACGTGTCCACGTCGGTCTATCCTCAATCAGTTTTTTCCTGCGATGAGACGTGACCTACGAGCACACACGATGTACGCGTGTATTATGCAGCCTAAGTTGTACAAGTCAGGGGGGGGGGGGCGCTATGACACGTGCACACACGCCACATCCAGCCTATTGATATGC